CAACGTTGTATGGGGTATAAGAATGCTTGTAACAGGCCTCGGCCATGAACACAATCAATAAGAAAACCTAAACCCGGAGAGGCATTCCTCTCCCGTAGACTAGTCCCGTATAAACGGGGATACCACGTAAACTCTGCCTCGTCTCTTCCGTTCTCGCGTATTACATATTAGACATGGTATCATACCAGTGCTGAGATCTGAAGGAGCTTGTCTTATAGGTCTTGCGTTATTCGTAGCTCATCACAATCAACATGGGCGACAGTGACACGAAAGGTCTTGGCGATGTCCTGCCGCCAGATTATAGTCTCCATCAATCCGATGGACCGGGTCAACTACTCATGGGCGATTTACTCACTGCCTCGAACTATGGTGAGTGGGTTCTCGACATGAAAGATTCTCTAGTTGCAAATAACAAGTATGGATTTGTTAATGGTTCAATCAAACGTCCCACGGAAGCACTCGCACAAGCAATTTGGGATCGATGCAACGCTATGGTCAAAGGATGGTTGAAAACATCCATGGACAAAGAAATTCGCAACAGAGTGCCTTGGGCCGAAACATCGCACGCCTTGTGGACAGATTTACGTGACTGATTCGGCCGTGGGAGCGCCCCTAAGGCTTATGAGTTGTGTAGCCAAATTGTCCGACTTCAACAAAAAAAACTGACGGTTTCCACTTTTTATACGAACTGCGCTCATTGTGGGAAGAGGCTGCTGCCATCTCACCGCCTCCCTATTGCTCATGTGGTTTGTGTATTTGTGACGTTGCGCTGCAAGCAAGGGAGCAACAAGATAAATCTCGCCTGTTTGATTTTTTTATGGGCCTCGACGAAGCTTTTTCGGCTATTCGCACCCAATTGTTGGCGATGAAACCTATCCCCACAATTGGAGAAGCTTTTGATGCGGTTCTTAATGAGGAGCAACACTACACAATCTCGCATGGCAGGAAGTCGAACTCAAACCCAGAGACTGCAGTTTTTGCTACACGCAACGAGCAAGACAGACCGGCGGGGCATGGCAATCGCGAACGCCCAAAATGCACCCACTGCCAGCGAATTGGTGACCTCAAGGTAGCTTGCTATGAACTAATTGGATATCCTCCCCGAGACAACTCCGAGTTTGCACCCTGTGACGTCGTCTGCGTCTAGATACAGAAGGGAACTTGGCCAGAGAACCGAAGGCCTCCCAAGTGGAGTCTGAGTCGAGCCCTGTTTTCAGATTCTCTCTTGCCCAACTTGAGCAGCTGAAGAAATTCTATGACTCGTCCTCTAAATCGGACGATCCACCTGCTCATATGGCATGTATGTTTACTTTTGATTCAGAATGGCTACTTGATTCGGTTGTAACGAACATATAACCATGGATGAGACAATCTTGTCGAACAAGAATGTCAGTGTGGATGGGCACATTGGTTCTGTTAAGTTGCAATCTGGTTTAACTCTTGATCGTGTTCTCCATGTGCTGGAATTCCGGTGCAACCTGGTATCGGTAAGTCGTTTAACCAAAGATAACAATGTGGAATTGATCTTTCTTGGTAACTTTTGCGTCATCCAGGACTTACTCTCTAAGAAGTTGATTGGGAAGGGTGAACTTCGAGATGGTCTCTATTACCTGCGGTTGTTTGGAACAGGACGTGTACAAGCTCTCGTAGCAGGAAGAAGATCTCGGAGGATGTTTGGCATGGTCATTTGGGGCATCCCTTAAGCGCCGTCATGATTACTCTTAGTCTGCAGCTCTCTTTTACTATTTCTTCAAACAAGAACCTTTGTCATTCTTGTTGTCGGGCGAAACTCTCCCGCAACCCGTTTCAGTCTAGTATGATCAAAACAAAGTCCTGTTTAGAGTTGATAAACATTGATGTTTAGGGTGGTTATCGGGTTGCATCTTCTAATGGTGCTCATTATTTTCTCACGATAGTTGATGATTATAGTCGTGGGTTCAGGGTCTATTTTTTACGTTATAAATCCGATGTCAATCGTCATTTGATTGCCTTTTGCAATATGGTCAAAGCTCAGTTTAAAACACAGGTTCGTCGGATTCAAACCGACCATGGCAGCGAGTTCACCAGTGATGTCCTACGCTCCTATTTTGAATAGGAGTTTATCTTGTTACAAACCTCTTGCACTGACACGCCTCAACAAAATGGCATAGTCGAACGCAAACATCAACATATCCTGGACACGGTGCGCACCTTGAGATTTGAGGCGGGTCTCCCTATCCATTTCTGAGGTGAGTGCATCCTCGCGGCTACTTATCTAATTAATCGACTACCGACTTCGGCTACCGGAAAAAACCCCTACGAAGTGATCTTTCAGAAGCCCTCGCAATATCAGCATTTGCGTGCATTCGTATGTTTGACTTTATTCAAAGAAACCCATGCGGGCCTGGATAAATTTGCAAAGAGAGGTCGCGCGAGGGTTTTTAGCGGCTATCCCATGACTTAGAAGGGATACAGAATATATGATCTTACTTCCCACAAGATCATTACATCCGGAGATGTTCACTTCTCGGAGACCCCTTTCGCGAAGGTAAACATGATCACCTCCACTGGATCCCTCAGCCCACTCCCTCTTCGCCTCTAGTGCACGAGGCCGAGATTTCGGAGCTAACTGCTGCTCCCCCTGTTGACGCACCAGCAACAGGTCAGCCCTCCGCTGATTCCTCCTCTGACCCGTTTGCATCCGGGGTTACTCCACCCTCTCTTGGTTAGCTTTCGCCACCACCCCCTGCCAGCGAGGCTCCTAATGTGCCTCCTTCCCCGCGCCGTCCCCCAAGCGGTTGGAGATATATGATACAAGCACCTCCATTCGGCATTCTTCTCAAGGAAGTCATGCCGTCAAATACCCATTGTCTTCTTGTGTTTCTTATTCAGGTGTCACCCCTAATTTCCTTGCTTTTTTGGCAGCGATCACATCTAATGATGAACCCCGATCATTTCGTGAAGCTTTCAAGGACCCTCGGTGGCGTGCTGCTATGGCACAAGAAATTGCAGCCTTGGAGCGAAATGGGACATGGAGTCTTGTGGATTTGCCTCCCGGCAAGCATGCCATCGCGGCCAAGTGGATACATAAGATCAAGTTCTTCCAGGACGGGACTATAGAGAGCTACAAGGCGCGTCTCGTCGCCAAAGGCTATACCCAAATTGAAGGCCTCTACTTCCATGACACTTTCGCACCCGTGGCAAAGTTAGTGACTGTTTGCCGCCTCATCGCCATAGCAATTAGCTGCGGTTGGCACTTCATCAGTTAGACGTCAACAATGCTTTCCTCCACGGCGATCTCAAAGAAGAAGTCTATATGCAGATATCCCTGGGGTTTTCAAATTCAATGAACTGGTATCACAAATTCACCGAGGCTCTCGTCGCACAGGGTTTTCGATCCTCCCCAACTGATCACTCCTTGTTTATCTATCAGCGAGGGAGTGTGTTTGTCGCCGCATTAGTCTACGTCGATGATGTCCTTCTCACTGGCAATGACTTGGAATTCATGAACACAATCAAGGCCCCTTGCGTTATTTTTTGGGCATCGAGATTGCCCGCACTAAAGATGACATCGTCCTCAACCAGTGGAAGTACATTTTGGACATCTTGAAAGATGCTGGCATGGAAGCTACCCGGCCATGCACTTTCGCGGTGGAGCAAAACCATCACTTGACTCGTGTCACTGAAGACCCTCTTGCCGACCCATCTCCTTATCGTCAGTTGTCAATCGTCTACTTTATTTGACAGTCACCCGTCCGGACATCACCTATGCTGTCAATGTCCTTAGTCAGTTTGTCACGGCGCCTAGTCAGCACCACCTGGATGCAGCACATCGTGTGCTTCGATAATTAAAGTCTGCTCCCGGACAGGGCCTCTCTTTCCCTACTGATAATCCTCTCACTCTTACTGCTTATTGTGATGCAGATTGGGGCGGGTGCGAAAGCACTCGACGGTCAACCAGTGGATACTTCAGTGCTATTGGCGACGCCCATGTCTCCTGGCGCACCAAAAAACAGCATGTCGTTGCTCGATCATCTGCTGAGGCCGAGTATCATTCCATGGCAAGCGCGGTTAATGAGCTCATATGGCTTCGTTGGCTCCTGCACGAGCTTGGTGTTCACCAGACCCAGTCCCACCCACTGTTTTGTGATAATCAGGCTGCTCTCCACATTGTGTACAAAGCACGTGGAAATGGATTGCTTTTTTGTCCGCGATCGAGTTCAGTAGGGACACATTGCTCCTCGCAAAATCAGTTCTCATCTCCAGGTCGCTGATATTTTCACAAAGGCTCTTGGTGAAGATCAGTTCCAGTTTCTTCTCTCCAAGTTGCACGTTCGAGATCTTCACCGTCCAACTTGCGGGGAGTATTGGGCCAGGAAAACAAGTCCACCACAGAAGCCCATGCATGCACGCGTACAACCGCATGCCACAACGAAACCGAGTCATATTGTACTCATAATTGTGCCCTAGTTGATCTACGTTGTATGGGGTATAAGAATGCTTGTAACAGGCCTCGACCATGAACACAATCAATAAGAAAAACTAAACCCGAAGAGGCATTCATCTCTCGTGGACTAGTCCCATATCAATGTGGATACCACGTAAACTCTGTCTCGTCTCTTCCGTTCTCGCGTATTCCTCTCCAAATCCAAAACTTGAGATTATCTAGAAAGACGGGAAGTTATTCCACTACATTTTGAGCCTCTCCGCAGTTTAAATTGGGACTTAGTCATCTTCAGTATCATGTTGATAGGAAGTGACAAGTTTAAGGTACAGACAGAAACTTTGACACATTTTTTTAATGGGCACTAGTTTCCGTACATACCAACATTTGGGCCACAAACATGGTGTTATGTGACCCGAAACAAGCTAGAGCTTGCTTCCTTATTGATGCATATTTTCTATTTACATTTTGTGCTCATGTTCATACAACCAAAGTTGTCAGCTTGATAGGCCCTTAGCAGTGATTAAGCCCGCCGACCAGGCCCGGTCCGGCCCCGGTTTGTGTATCATGAGTAGGGCTAAGCAGTGGCAGATTGTCGGCCCATTACAGACTTGAAAAACCCAATCAAGTCGTCGTAGACATCTTCTTTGGCTCGAATGTCATAGAGGAAGTCGGCATGGCCGTAGCGGTCGACGTAGTGTAGCAAGGCTTGGTCGCGCAGCTCCCTGAGCGTGTGGTTGAAGTCGGCCGGGTCGGCCTGACAATCCTGAACACTGTACCCCATCCACAGTGGGAAGGAATCCGGTATGCGCCCTAGATCGAATGCCGGTGGAGTCGTCTGCCCGTATAGCTTGTAGTTTTTGAATATACCGTAATCGTACCGAGAAAAAGTGCCCCTCCGAATCACTGCATTCATGCATCAATGAATGTTTACTGGATGGCTTCAGCTCTAGTACTTGACCACAACCGAACAGCCTGCAGATCTCCTTACTAAAGCTGTCTCGACCCAACCAGTATTGGTTTCTTTCACACAAACTGATGTTGCGTCAAGCACCATCAATTTGAGGGGGGTATTGAAATGTAATTTGTAAATATGGTGAAAGTGAGGGACTGTTTTGTATATGTGTATATTATGGGGACTAGACGGTTTGTGGTGCACACGCCTAAGTGGTTAGGGCGGTGCATACCTGCTATATATCCCTGATTTTGGGTTTATGGCAGTTGAATAATAAGAAACAAAAAGCACCGTTAACCACCGTGTAGTAAAACCTCTCTGAGAGGCTGAACTACGTTAAATCTCGAGTCTTTGTCTCTACTTTTCCATATCCCCTCTCATCATCCCACTTTGTCACTGGCTCTCCTCTTCTGAAAAGTTATCCAAACCAAATTCATGCTCCATCTCCCTCATGCCTCTCTCAATCTTACTTCGCCCTCTATCCTTTCCTGGAACAAACAAAAAAATGGAATAAAAAGTAAAATCCACTCCTTCTGAAAGAACTGACACCGATGATGACGAGCATCATGTTAAAATAAGTCATGATGTTGGATAGATTATGACCAATTTCTTATTTGCAGGTAGTCTCTCTATTCTTACTAGTAATGTTTAGTTAAGGCGAAGGGAGGAGAGACCATTCTAACAAAGAATGAACGACCGCGCTATTATGATGTTGGTGGTGAAGCAGCGAGGTAGACGAAGGAAATGACATCGCGGTTCCCCGACGGAGAATTCAAGATTGAAATCGAAGAGGCTAGGCATGAGATTGGATGCCCTAGCTAGGGATTGGAACGACACTGGTGATATTCTTTTCCTGATGAGCTTCAACAAATCGGAGCTATACCTTGACCAAGTTCAAATCCAGTTCAAATCCGAAACCGTAACCATACCTCAGCTCAATTTAGAAAGACATTATAAATTGGATCAGATATGAAGTTACCTTCTAAGACTCAACAGGGACAGATCATCGAACAAGACAACCTTCCAGAATCACTTCCTCGAGAGACTTGGAGTAGCAAAGTGGGATTCAGAGGAATTGAGAAGAAGAAGATGAGGAGGGAGGAGAAGTAGGAGTCGGAATCGGTGATTTGACACACAAATGTAATTGATCGTAAATATTAGGCTTTCGCAACCATTTTAGTTTGGTTGTGACGATAATGGTTCCAAAAGGCACTTTTTCTTTTAGTGCACCCTCCAAATCCCATATTTGAGACTAACTAGAAGTTATGGCACTATATTTTTAGCCTCTCCGCACCTTAAATTGCGACTATCAGTTTGAGTATCAAGTTGATAGGAAGTGGCAAGTTTAATTAACGTACAAGCAGAAACTTCGGCACATTTTTTTTTTAATGGGCACTGGTTTCCGTACATACTAACATTTGGGCCACAAACATGGTGGTGTTGTGTGTGACCCGAAACAAGCTAGAGCTTGCTTCCTTATTGATGCATATTTTCTATTTACATTTTGTGCCCATGTTCATACAACCAAAGTTGTCAGCTTGATAGGCCCGCCGGCGAGGCGAGGCCAGGCCCGGGCCGGTTCGTTTCTTCGGAATGATCATGAGTAGGGCTAAGCAGTGGCAGAGTGTCGGCCCATTACAGACCTGAAAAACCCAATCAAGTCGTCGTAGACATCTTCTTTGGCTCGAGTGCCGTAGAGGAAGTCGGCATGGCCGTAGCGGTCAACGTAGTGCAACTTGGCCTGGTCGCGCAGCTCCCTGAGCGTGTGGTTGAAGTCGGCCGGGTCGGCCAGACCATCCTGACCACCGTACCCCATCCACAGCGGGAAGGAGTCCGGTATGCGCCCCAGATCGAACACCGGCGGGGTAGTCTGCCCGTACAGCTTGTAGTTTTTGAATATCCCGTAATCGTACCGGGCAAAAGTGCCCTTCCGAATCACTGCACGCATTCAAATAATGTCATGATGAGACGAAACATACTATTCACCTAATGTTAAAGCCAATTATTGAGTGTGAGCGTGTATATATCATATATGTACTCTGGAAAAGATGGGCGAGGTTCTTGGCAGATGTTGGGTTTGGTTCGTAGTCGAGGTAGAAGTCCAAGCGTGAATTGTTGAAGCAGCAATTGTACCCTGCAAAATGAATTGATCATTATTATCAAATAATTATGGCAAACATGAATTCATCGTCTACCTAATTACTAATTAGGTTGTTATGCATGCCAAGAGGGGAAAAAAAGGAAGAGATCGATCGAAGCAATTAACCTGTGAGGATGTTGAGAATATTGTCGCAATGTTTGTATCGCTCACACAAGAAACCCAACAGCTTGTTAGACCACTTGCTGCATGTGGATTCCAGAAAAAAATACAACCACGCGTATGGTCACATAAACAAACTTACAAAGAAAAAATAATGGTGAACAAAGAAGCAGACAGAACAGAAGTCATAATTAATATATAGAGATTTTACCCTCTTAAATTCAACTCGTGTATCCCCGCGGCAAGAATTAGCTGTACGTACCACGTGTCAGAAGAAGAAAAAAAGGTGGAATTAGTAACAGAAAAATGTTTTAGGGAGTCAGTCTCTCTGTAGAAAACTGAAAATCGAAGGGAAAAAGTGCATGCGGACGGACGGACGGACCTTATCGACGTGGAAAGTGACCAATTGACGGGGAATAGTGGCAGAAACGTGATCCAAATAAGAGATTGGGCAGAGGAGGGCGGCAGCTTCCACCATTTGCACGATCTGCGGCTGAGTCAGACCAGCCAGCGTCATGATAGTCCCCTGCCAAATACGCATGCATGCAAGTCAGCATCTGGCACTAGAGAGAGAGAGCTAGCCCTAGGCTCCAAATGATGATGGAGACGAGACGATCGAGGAAGACCTGAGAATGACCAACAATGAAAGGTTTGGAGCTTGTTTCGGCGTGTATGAAGTGTAGCATCTCCGTCAGGTCATTCATCGCCAACTCCTGCCAACTCCAGTCCCAATATTTCTGCGCGCGATATGAATAAAGTTATTATTAATTAATGTAGCATTTCTATATATTCTTTAATCGTATATATGATGAAAAAGGGTAATTATATATATTATATACGCTGTCATCCTCTGAGAGATATATATGGCCACGACTCCAGTATGTGCCCCGAACGTTGCCGACCCAGACATCAAAACCCTGGTCGGCAAGGATGAAGCCTAGAGACTGCTCCGGAGAATTCAGAAACCAGCAATCACCACCCTGCGTGCATGCATGAATGCACGATCGATGAGAGGATACGTAAATTATGACATCGATTAGTTCAGCAGCAGTAGGCTTGCTAATTGCATGCATGTTCCATTACCATAAAGACGCCGTGTAGAAGCAGCACGGGAGGAGCCTGCCCAACATTTGAGGTGATATTTTCATGTCTCGATGAAACCCTCTGGAGAGCCAACAAGTACCCATCCGTAGTTTGGGCCTGCATTGCATATTAATTAAATCAAATTAATTGGAGTATTGGAATATTGAAGGAATTTAAAGTAATTAAGCCACTATCTAGTTCATCGATCGGTTTGCATGCATGCTCAAATCAGACAGCGCTGCCGTTCTGGTAATTAATCATAGATTAACATCGTTTGACGAGGTCGGAATGATATAATAGAGAGAGGGAGAGGGAGAGGGAGAGAGAGAGAGAGAGAGAGAGAGAGGTAGTATACCGTGTGTTCAATGCATGGGTACCCGGCCGGTCGGATGAGCTCATCACACATGCTACCGCGGTTAGAGGGCGCCGGCAGCCGAATCCTAGATTCGCCGTCGGTGAAGCCTGCGACGAGGAGGCTGAGGAGGACCCCCGAAAGGAGGTGCCGGTAGTACTGGTTCATCGTGGGACGTCAAAAGGCATATGTAGTCTTGCAGGTAGCAGAGCTTCCACCTCCGCTGCCAAGTCTGTGATGAAGAAATGGAGGATATTTTCCTATTATTGCTGGTAGTGGTAGTGGTGGACTGTTTTCTTTTATATTGCTTTGGGAAAGAGAAAGAGGGGGGCGGCAAACCTTCGTTCTACAAGTGGAAGCCATTCAGTTTCATCTTTTCAAGTTCCAAGCCAGCTGATAATAACACTTAAAATCATTTACTACAAAGAGCATGTGATTAACTCAATTGCTTAGCCATGAATAATTACTTGATGTCATTTTAATATTTTAATTATCGCTACCAAATTTATCTTCTTATTACCATCCCATGGCAATGGGCAAGTCCGGGTCAGGTATCTCGATATTCATACCTACCCGATGGGATGTCGGATCCAAATCGAATAATTTATTACAAGTTACATCTTTATAATAGCTAAAAATATTATGTAATAAAAGGAAAATTCTAAATAATTTGACTAAAATTACATGTAATTTAAATAAGAACATGTCGAGAATAGGACGGATCATGACAAATTGGGTCAATGGAAATACCCATGCCCGTCCCCAAACAGATCGGATAAAACGGATCAAATCGAAATTATTATTCTTTCCTACACCAATTATTGTTCTCACATAATTTTTAATATATAGCTATTAATTGGGCTCAAATCAACCTGATGTTAAGCCTTTCCTGATTCGGAGGTGAGTTTATACATATTTTAAGGTAGAAAAAAAGGTAGAGAGAGGGTCCGAAACTAACCAAGCTGAATGCAAAGCACTTGCCAAGTGTCGTTCGCAGTTATTCTTGCTAATTGGGAGAATCGAAATTCATTAGCAATTAATTCGGAGTTCCGAATCAAACCACCCATTTGTCATTTTATTTGCAAAAGCTCAATGCATGTCCAACTTATGTCTCGTCCGTCAGGCTTCTGCATATCGAAAACGTCACCGCAAAATGACAGATAATTTATTGCATATTCACTTACTATTCTGTTTTCTGTTTTTCAGTGCCGGAACATAAATCAGGAAATATAATTGCAAAAACGTGTTCACTCTCTTGTTTTGCTTTCGGTTAATAGAATGGGGAAGAATGAATATGGAAGCTGGCAGAAACAATAAATACACGTTTCTTGGAATTAATGGCACGGGTTTCTCCTTGTTGCCCAGCGGAAAAACACTACTGTTCATTAAAGAGGTCGCCGGTTTGAGTCCCCCAACCTTTTCTTTTTTGCATTTTGTCTGTTGATTCTACACGCAGCCCTTAGATGTCGTTTTGGCTTATTCTACACGCAGCCCTTGGATGCCGTTTTGGCATTGGAAACTCTACTCCAAGCTCTAGGGGTGGTTATAAGGTCCGGTCCGGTTAAATTGCACCAAATTGATCCGGTCCCAGTCCGGTCTTTTCGGGAATATAAGAACCAAAGATTGGATTGGATACAATCCTGTCTTGATCCGGTCCGGTCTTGACCCAGTCCGGTCCTAATTTGATCTTGATTTTAGGTGTTGGGGGTCTCTTATCCGGTCTTTATCCGGTTTTTTACCTCAAATCTAAGCCCGAATATGAGATTGAATAGTTTGCTATCCGGTCCCAGTCCGGTCCCGGTCCGGGTTATATGGTCCGGTTTTGGGTAAAACCAAACAGTCCCGGACCAAATAGCCAGCCCTACCAAGCTCGATCAAACCTCCACTCCATACAAACGCCGCTCAACCGCTGCATCCCCACGAGAAGCTCTGCCGCTGCATCTCCTCCAGCTACCTCCATCGATCGACCTCCTCTCCTCTCCACTCGACGAAGGCGTTTCGAGAACCTACGGCTGCTCGGAAGCTCGGCCGCCGCATCTCCTCCATCGATCGACCTCCTCTCCACTCCACGAAGCCCGATCAAGTTCCTGGGGCTTCTCGGAAACAAACGGCCGCATCTCTTCAAGCTAGCTTCATCGATCGACCTCCCCTCCATTCGGTGAATCCCGATCAAGTTCCTGGGGATTCTCCGAAAGAAACGGCAACCGCTCCCCAACAGCAACCCCTTCATCGATCGACCTCCGCTCCCCATCAGCATCTCCCCCATTAGGCCACCTATCAACCATTGCACAGCAGCAGAGGCAACCCCTTCCCAGCAGCAAATCCTTCCCAACAGCGGCCTTCTCTGTTCAGGTTAGTTGCTCTGCTTCTTTGTTGTTAATATTGTTGTGTAATTATTTGTTTATTTAGTTGCTTATCATTGTTGTTAATTCTATGTAAGTATTGATGTCATGCTTGCTTGTGAACATGAATGCTTGCTTGTGAACATGAATGATATAGCATAAGGGCAGATTTGGTGATTGAGCTTGATGGCAGATTTGGTGTCTGCTTCTTTATAGTTTATATGTATGGTAGTTGGTGTCATGCTTAAGGGCCGATTTATCATCATTTTGAGCAGATTTGTGTATTTGATGCTTTCTTCTGAGAATGATGTTCTCGTATGGAATTGTAGCTTGATAAACAATGGCGGCTAATGATGTGGACAATAATGATTGTGTGGTGATTGAGGGAAATGAGGTATGGCCTGCTAAGGTAGTGCAGTATTTCGTTGATTTGATGGTCGAGGAAGTAAAGAAGGGAAACAAACATAGTAACACTTTCACTAAATTAGGATGGTCAAATGTAAAAGATGGCTTGAAGATTAAGTTCAACAAGAACTATGAGTTCTAGAAGCTTAAGAATAAATTTAATGGGCTGAGGAGGAAACATCGAGAATTCAAGGATTTGATTAGTCGGACTGGAATTAGTTATACCGCTGTAACAGGGAGGATTGTTGCATCTGATGATCAGTGGAAGGTGTGGAACCAGGTAATTGACACTTTTAATTACTGTGATTGAATTCAAAGTGGTAATTTAGAAAGAGGAACTGATTGGAATGTTGCATTTGTAGAAATACAAGATGCTGGGGACAATTCGGAAGCATGGATGTCCAGAGTATGAAAATCTATGTTAATTCATATTAAAATGTGACTAATTGAGTATTCTATTTTTTAGGTAAGTATTATGTAGTTGATTCTGGATATGCAAACATTCCTGGGTTTCTAGCACCATATAAGACAAGAGAAGCTCGTCATTTTCAAGATATCGATCGTGGAGGTGGGCCAAAAACTCTTAAGCAACTTTTCAACTACTATCATTCATCCCTACGCAATGTTATTGAGCGTTGTTTTGGGATTTTGAAGGCTAGATTCCCAATTTTGAAACATATGCCTCCTTTTGCTCTCAAGAAGCAAGCACACATTGTTATTGCATGTTGTGTAGTACATAACTTCATTAGGATCCACTCCGATGACGACACTTTATTTGAAGAGTATCAACATAATTACATGGAGGAGAATGTCAATGGAGTACAAGGAGGACAAGAAAGAGAAGTGTTTAATCTCAGTTCAAGTCAAACTCGAGCAATGGATGTGCGACGTGATGGAATAGCAAACAAGTTATGGGATGACTTTCAAGCGGGACTTATTTGATATTTGATGTTTTAATATTATTTATTTGATTAAGATGTTGTACTTGTATTGTGTTTATTAGTAGTTTGAAAACCATATGATCATGATTAGAGTTGTATGACACTCCATGAAAAAATTCTAGTAATCAAGTACCAAAAACAGTATGAAGTAACTAAACAAGGTTTCATTTTCAAAATTCAGTTTCAGAACTCACCAAAATTCTCAACTAAACAAGTTTTCTGCAGGTTTTGATTCTCAGAAAACGACAGCTTCGTTTTCATTTTATTTGGTTTTCTGTTGAGAAATCTATAAGAAACGGAATGGCAAGTGAACGGGCCATTAGGGAGGTTCGTCTGTATGTAGGTCGGTACAGTATGGGTGACTCACATTCAGAAGAGTTAATCCTAAAGGATGAAAGAGATTTTGTTGTCCTAGCTAGAGGTTTGTTTCTTGTGAATATGGATTATTCCCTTGTGGTTGACACTATTTTACTCTGTGAAACTATTCAATGGTGTCAGGACATCGGACTGGCTCAGATTCAATTTGAAAGTAATATCAAAGTGTTTATTGACAGGATTAATGTCAAGGATGCGCGAAATAGTCGTGTTGGGCTATTATTGAGGAAATTCTGTGTAGAAAACATAAATCTTTGGTCCTCTTACTGTAAGAGTCACGACTTCGGATTATTTTGGTTTTATGGATTTCGGTCATTGTTTTGGGATTATCGGAAATATTTGCATGATTTGGATATTAGTCGTTATTTTGAATAGTTATAGGGAATTTAACAATTCTATATATTCTGTATTGGTGGGGTTTTCCGTATTAAGCAATAACACAATAATTATTCCCTAAACTCTAATTTCTCTCTCATAATTCCCTCTCTTTTCCACACCCAAACCCGGCGGCTCCCTCTACCTAGCTAGGGGCGGCTGAATTTCCTCCTCCACCTCGCTCTTCTTCTTCCCCGATCAAGTCCCTCAATCCCTAAATAATTCTCTCAATCGCAAGCTTATGCCCTAGCCGTATGTGCCTAGATCTTTAGTTCCTTCAATGGTATCAGAGTCCGGTTTGGCGCGTGGTGGAAAAGATGACTAACAAGGCACAAAAACCTGTGAAACTGTGATTGTCAAAGATCACACAAAAAACGAGTTACTGCTTCAAAACTTGAAGGACATAGCACATCAGCAAACAGAGACCGCCGAGGAGCTGAAATCGACGGGAGCACGACTGATATTGACCGCCGAGCAAATGGCGGTCGATCTCCGCTAACTCCATACCATCTTGAGGAAGACAGTTGGACGAATGGAGCAGGACATCTTGAAGATGGCGGAGAGGAAGGCGCGCTTCCTGCCAGATCTAGCCGGAATAGAGGTAGTGCGCGACACAAGGCAGGGGGATACCGGGATGCGCGGGCCACTAAGGCAGAGGCGAGGTCACTTGCGGTCGAGCTGGTGCGGGCAGTCGCGTCCAAAGTGGAAGCTGAGGCGACGAACGAACAGACGCGACGGGCGGCGGAGGTGGATTTGGGAGGCAGCAGTGATTTCGACAGGGAATGCACCAAGCGGTGAGATCACGGTTCAAGAAACCCTAACCGTGCGGGCGATAGCGTGAGCCAATAGGGAGGTGGGCTGGGATTACTTCCAACTCCCTCGGGCCCGGGAGTGATGGCAATTCGCGGCAAGGCCAAGGCCCACAGATAATGAGGGCGGGTCAGTATTCGCGGACCAATGAGGAAGTGGACCAGTTCAATTGGAGTCGGCCGAACTAGATATGGGGATGAATTCAGCCTGGTGCTCCAAGAGAGATGTGGGCTGACCCATGCCCACCAGGGACGGGTAAGGGCTAGGTTGCTGACCCAACCAGATCTAGATGGACCCGACAAGAGTCGACAAGTCTGACCGGAACAGAAGCAAACGGGTTGAATCGGGTCAGACCAACCGACCCGGACAGTAGCGGGCAACATCCTGGGAGGGCATACTTGGGGAGCTGGAAGCCTGCACCGCACCTTCTGTCCGACATATCCTGCACTAGTCACACCGGAAGTGGAGTACGGGCAGCACGAGATAAGGTTGGAGCTGGGGCAAGGCTCTAGGACGAGGCCAGAAGGGGGAGATGAGCACGGGGAAGAAATAGACGGCTAGTCATTTTCTCAGCAGACAAGGCATGATGGTGTGCGCGACTACCACCGGGGTTCCTGGGACTATGGAGCGACCAGGGGATGGTATGATAATTTTAACCCCTTGTTTGATAGAGATGATAACTTGGTGTTGGGGGTTAAGCCTCTAGTGATTGAATTCCCGAGGTTTGACGGTCACAGTGGCGTGGGGATATGGCTGTTTGCGACAGAGAGGTGGTTTCGAAACCACTCGACCAGGGAAGAATGGTAGGCGTACCTAGCGTCCTTCTATGTAGAGGGTGATGTTTGCAGTGGTGGGATTGGATGGAGAGGTCCTATGCCGCGGTAGGCACCCAGATTACATGGGCTATGTTTCAGGAGGAGATTAAGTACCAGTTTGGGAGGTCAAACGGGTGGACTCCAGAGCAGCTGACGAAGCTCAAGCAGACTGGGACAGTTGCAGAGTATCGGTCAAAGTTTCTGAAATTAGGGAACTAGTGCAAGGGCATGGCGGTGGAGACTCTGGTGGGATTGTGCATGGCGAGGCTGCGCCCTTAGCTGGCATCCTCCGTCAAAGTCTTTGAGCCTGATTCACTTTGATTTGCTTTTAGACTGGCAGGTAGAAAGAAGGTGGACACTACAAGAAAAATGGACTATAGAGACGATGAAAATGTGTCTCTATTGAATATTCATTTGTCTCTATACTTCTTTAGATGCATATACCATATTTGTCTCCTCTAGAGCAGTTGCAATAGCCTTATAGAGACAAATATAGAGACAAATATTATTTGTTACTGATTGGGAAAACTACATCTAATATTTTAGTCTCTAAAGACTTTTTTAGAGACGATTATTTAGTCTCTATATGCACATTTAAAGATATAAATATTTGACTCCAATTTCACCTTTAGAGACATATTCTTTTGTTTATATATTAGATTTTCCCGACATAAATATTTGTCACCAATTTGACTTTTAGAGTCAATTTGTTTTGTTCTTAATCTTAGTCATTCGAGACTATTATATTTGTCTCAAAAAATTTCTTAAGCATAATCGACTACAACTTATTTACTTACCAATTCAATTCTAATTGAAATTAAAAACATAACCGTATATTTTGTCAATTTCATTACTATTAGTACAAACAAAATAAATCTATGAAATCCACCATTTTTTTCCTTTTATTGAAGCCAATCAATTTTGGTGCTTACATCAGAAATGTTTCTAAATGGATAAAAACTATACTACAATGATAATCAACAAAATTATGAATTTGAACAACACAATAACTTTATAAACGCCCCTTAGTTGTGCCTTCAGGTTCCTTTCCCCAATCACTATCACCATTATCAACATAATGCACAATTGACTCCCCGTCAGTAGCCTTGAAAACTTTATGCTAATTGTGTAATCTTTCACCAGCTCCATTATACAGTTGACTCCTGCAAGTACAGGGTATGGGTAAAT